ACCTGCAGATGTGCTCGCTGGACCAAGACTGCTTTCCCATGGGAACCGTGAAACAATGGGTCCTGCTCACTGCTGGGACTGGTTTGTCCTGTTCGGAACTGGACTGTCTGTACTTGTTCTCAACGGACTGATTCTCCACTGTCCTGTACCTGTTCCCTCCACATACCTTCCTGTTCCCCCGCCCTGGCAGAAGACTATAAAAGACCCCTGAGTTAACCAAAGAGTTTGAGGTTCTCCCTGATGTGACAAGACAGACCTATTGGCTGGCTGGACGACGAGGATTTTGTGTCTCTGTTGGTAGCTCTTACCCCCTCCCACCTCTTTCTCTCTCTCTCTCTGTCTTTTATCTCCTTTCTAATCCTTCTATCACATTTGCTGTGGGCACTCAATAAAAGGTGCATTTGTTTTGATTAATACTGAAAGCCCCTGCTGTGTGTCTTCTGCACTCTGAGATTGGTAAAACAAACCATCACAACCCCTGCTTGTACTAGCAGATTGTGACAGCATTTCGTGTCCTCTCTATGAATTGCATGTATGGGTCCTTGAGGCCCTGTTTGATCATGGAATACCTCTGGGTTGGTGTGGCCATGTCTGCAACATTCAGCAGGGCTTGTATCCCCAAGTGTTTTGCCTGTACTAATATTCAAGGACGTAGGCGTGCCTGTAACTAAGAATTGTCAACAGGGGGCAGTCCCATAAGCTGAGAATCCCCAGCCCCAAAGGGTGAATCTTGCTGCAGTACCTCTAAATTGCGCTGCCCTCGATCCTCTGCATATCGCTGCCAGGTGGACTCGAACATCATACATTGAACTGAGGTACGAAGCAGCTTCACTGTCTGTTTAATATCTGAAGGTGTCATCTCATTGGCAGTAAGAAACACTAACATCCTTGCTACTGCCAGAGACCACAGTGTGTGTTTGGAGCCCGGCTGGCACAGTTCAGAGAGGACCTGTCATTTAGGGAAACGTACTTGTCAGGTGTCAGCACCAGTCATCCCACCCGCAGGCTGTGAGCCACGCGATGGCAGTGGGGGCACGGGCACAGAGATATTTTCCGCACCTTTGAGATCCCCATCCGCAACGGCAATCAGCTTTACCTGCCTCCAGAAGCTGACCAGATTGTAGGCAGATTTGGTGACCGATACCGGCAGTGTGGCAGAAGCGTTCTCTCACGGGTCAGCAAGAGTGTGATAGCTTGGTTTCCCTCCGTTAGGATGTGGTGAGCTTAATAATGAAAAGCGTCCCTTGGACTTCTCGAGCCCTGGCTGTGCATGTGGCAGGGTACCATGTCCCGTGGTCCTGGGCACCAGCAACCTCCCACCAGCGCTTCAGCACCGGCTGCCGCTTCCCTCTGGGCTCTGCTCGTGGCGTTGGCGGGTGTGCCGAGCGGTGGCCGGGCTGCAGCCGCAGGCAGGGGTGTGCCGAGCCCGACACCGGCGATATGGAGCGCGGAGCACAGCGATGGCTCCCGTGGCCACGACACGGGCGGGCTCGCCTGCAGCACAAACGCGTCTGCTGCCGGTGGCAGAGGAGGTCTGGTGGCATGGCAGGACGGTGCCACAGGGACAGGGGGCTCTGGTAACAG